TCAGAGCTTTAAAATTAATTTTCTCAAGCTAATAATACTCGGTTTGAATGGGAGCCTTGGAATAATGATGAAGTTATTTATGTGTTACCTATAAGTTACGGGTGCGAGCCGTGGAAGCAGCGACAAATGTTTGCATTAGGATAAGTTGTCTATGTCACACCCCTTGTAGTGCGGTCCTTCCCCAAACCCTGCGTGAATGCGAATTGCTTTGTTCACCGAACTGCCGTTTCAATAATACTTAAGTTTATCCAAAAATATGACTTTTACCAAATACAAATAATATTTTCGCGAATACGAACAGTTTCAATTTTCAAAGTTGTGGGGCAAGGGGGTGAGTGGGGAGGGGGAACGGGGGGGAACAACAGGGAGCCAGTTGATAACTTTTATGCCATCAACTTCAAAAATGTTGGGCCAGGGCTGAACCATATGGATCAATTTCTTCATTTCTTGGAGGCACCAAAATGGTAAATGAATCATACATTTTAGAATCTTCACATTTAAAACATTTTTTTTGGCAGCATATATAAGTAGGAGGATGAGAGGAAGGGTAAGCAAAAGGTTGGTGATCAGTTGTATTGTACTAAACACTTCAGGATAGAGTTACGAGTGAGCTTCCTTTTAATTTTTGCACGTAAAACAAAATTTACATGAGGACTTCTTTAGGAATCGCATTTTTCTTTGGGAATCAACCAAACATGCCATCATACTATACGAAATTGAGCACATTTGTTCTTCGTTAATAGTTTAGCTCAAATATGCCCTTACCGTCATATAGTTTTTCCATATATGCCCTTAGAGTTACACAGTAAGCTCATATATGCCCTTTTCGAAACAGAATCCACTCAAACTAATTAGCTCTTTCGTTAATTGTATTAAAGTGTATTACAAACACTATTTCCTTTTTATTAGTACTTTTTTTTCTTTACCTTTCTCTTTTCTTACATCTTTTTTCTTCTCTTCTCTTTTTTTTTTCCTTTTTCTTTCTCCCTTATCCGATTTCCTCCATTACTGATGTCTTCTCCATTTTCATCACCAATTTCACTTAACAAATCTCATAAATTCCAATTACTAAGAAAATTCTCCCATAAGAATATTTTTATATATCATATATTTTTTAATTTTTTAATTTTTACTGAACATATATTTAGTTCTAAAAAATTTAACTAAGTAAGATTGAAATAATATTTATGTAAAAAAAAATCCGAAAATCCAACAAAACCGTACAATCCAAATCGATATAATTGGTTTGGTTTGATTTTGATAAAAAACGAACCAACCCGTTCTATGTACACCCCTAATTTATATATATAGTTAATTAAAAAAATAAAAAATGTCCAGCTGAAAAAAGACTAACAACTCAAATTTATAACACTACAACTTGAACTCTAGGCTTTTAATCATTAAATTATCTTTCTGGAAATAATTTAAATATTTTAGTCTTTTGAGTATTGTTAAAGGTTGAGATATTTTTTTTTATTTTAAATTTTAAACCATAATTTTTGAAATAATTTTATTTTATTTATTTAGAGGGCCAGTGAAATTGGAACTTGATTACCTTATCGGAGAATTTTCTTAGTAATTGGAATTTATGAGTTTTGTCAAGTGAAATTGGTGATGAAAATGGAGAAGACATCAGTAATGGAGGAAATAGGATAAGGGAGAAAGAAAAAGAAAAAAAAAGAGAAGAAAAGAAAAAAGATAAAAGAAAAGAGAAAGGTAAAGAAAAAAAGTACTAATAAAAAGGAAATAGTATTTGTAATACACTTTAATACAATTAAAGAAAGAGCTAATTAGTTTGGGTGAATTCCATTTCGAAAAGGGCATATATGAGCCAACTGTGTAACTCTAAGGGCATATATGGACCAACTATGTGACTGTAAGGGCATATTTGAGCTAAACTATTAACGAATGACAAATGTGCTCAATTTCGTATAGTATGAGGGCATATTTGGACCTTTGCCCTTTAAATTATGAAACTATACGTGAGATATCTATCGGGAACTTTCAGAAGAAACTATTGTTTAGAGGCTTATTGATGGGCATAGCTATAATTTAGCTAATTATATTTTGTAGCTACTAATTGCTTTCCATGAGATATATGTCATTCAATTGTATTCAGTTGTATTCAAACAACAAAAAATTAAGAAATAGGGTATGTATCGCTCAATTCAATTCGACTGTATACACTATATTCAATTGGGTTATATTCATTCTAAACTATTTTACATTGTATTCAATTTCACTGTATTCAATTCGACTGTATTCAAACAATAAAAAAATTACAAAATAATGATATTCAGCTGTATTCAATTCATTGTATTCATTCGTAGATACTTTTACACTATATCCAATTTACTGTATTTAATTTGGTTGTATTCAAATAACAAAAAATCAAAAAATATAGGGATCTTCCATAAAAAATAACATTTGGAATACATAAACATGCGAAAATACAAAAAAAAAAAAAATTGAGTGTATTTGTATCATTGTATGTGACTCAATAGCAAAGAAGAGAAGAAAGTTCGTCGGAGGTGTCGTTTTTCGGCCAAGTAAAATATTGTATACATTATTTTAAAACTAAAAAATGGAGACAAACAAAAATTCGGCCATATCTGAGAATACGCTATCACATTATATCTACCAAAATTCATTCAAACAAATAAAAATCCAGCCATAATGTGTATTTCATTGTATTTAATTCGGCCGCAAGAAATAAATATACTCAAATCTGAGAAATAGAATACACTCGGATATGAGAAATCAGGTCGGTTGGCCATGGATTCCAGCCAGAGATGACGGCGGCGGTGGAGGTAATGATGAGGCCGATCTGGATTGAGGAATTCGAGATACTAAATTGAGGAATATTCATAGCGGGTGAGAGAAGAGAGAGTACAACGGAGAGAAAAAAATAAAAAGGAGGTCAGACGGCAGTGTTCCGATGGGTTAGGCCGGCGGTGGTTCTCTAGCGAAATTGTAACACCAGAGAGATAGAGAGTTTAAGGGAGATGGGGGAGGCGGCTAAGCTATAGTACAAAGATGAAAGGAGGAAGAGAGAAAAAAGTTACTTTATGGTTAGAAATCCCCTAGAGAGGATATTTGCTATAGAACCCAATATGTAGCTATGTATTATAATTAGTTTAAAATAAATTTATTTATGATAAATAGGATACATTATTTAGCTATAGCAGGTAAAGTTTCCATATCTATTTAATATTAAGAATTCGAACAAAGACAGAACTAGAACCATATCTCACTTGGCTTAATATAGGGGAAACAGGAAAAGAATGTAGAATTAAGAACAAGTAGCAAAAATTGAAAAGAAAAAAAATTAAAGACGCTGAATTAGGATTTATATACACCCTAATCCAGCGTTACAATGTTGGAAAAAGAAAATGTGTTGTCAGTCTATCAAGACTAGGAGGAAAGAGAGATTGTGTACAAAATGATTTACTAAGCACTAATTCGAAGAGATGTTAGTTAAAAGTTAAAACCTAGATATGTGGTAAAAAGTGGCATACAATGTTAGACAGAGATTAATATAAGTATAATTTTGAGTTAGAACTTAGATACATATACCATTAAATTTTGTAAAATTTGCCCCCGATAGATCCAGGATTTTTTCTCGATATCCCATATGTAAAATAATATTACACTTAACCCAATCCAGCGGAGGGCTTTCCCATATGACTACAACGTTGTGCACATACAGTTCTCAAGAACATAATAGCTAAATATGAATTTTTTAGCCACGGTAGCTGCAACTTGAATAATATTCAAACGAAAAAAAAGGGAGGGGCAGAAATTAACAGGCTAGTCCATATACTTCTTCTAAAGAACTATAACTATAAGGTGCATATTCCTGTTGCCTTCAACTAATAACCAAGGGGGGAAAGGGGGGAGGGGCAGATTTATGCTTCTAGTATATAATATATGGGGGGTTTAACATCTTACATCCATAGTTTGGAGATTGACGCCCAAATTCAGAGGTTTTATGTGCATCTCTGTTTGTGTTTTCTTTTAACAAAAATAAACCTCATAAAAGATACCAATTGAAGAAATATAGGAGACGAATTTCATCTTGTAGTTGACTTTGACATGCAAGATTTTATATATCCAGGATGCAGGATATCAATGGACAATACAGACTAGCATCACGTTGCAGAAAAGCATGTGGCTACTATTCTAATTTTCTAAGAATAAGTTGCTTATCGGTCTTGTATTTTCACTATGAGTTTTTTTGTTGAATAGACAAAGCTAAAAATACGTCATAGGAGCAATATCAACATATCTATGAGAAGTTTTTATATTTTTTCCCATTTGTATTGTTTTACCTCTGTCTAATGCAAATATCGTTATAGGAGGTGAACAACCGGCCGTTTGACTAGTTGGCTACTGATTATTCTCTTGTTCTTATTTGTTCTTTTCTTAACATTTTTGGGATGCAAATTGCAAAGATGATTAGCTAACTTCTTCAGCGTTCACATCTAAGTTGCAGAGACCCAATATTGGGATACGACATGCGAATAGAAAATAGATATTTCCGCAGTGAAATTTTTAACCCAAAAAAAACATCTTTAAGCTGTCTTGTTAAGAAGTTGATAAAAAGTGCACCAAATTAAAGAAACATGATTCAACTTCGTAAATATGAATGAGAAAATAAACACTCACTGAAAGTAATAATCATTACCGTACTAGTCCAGTGACGAAGCCAGAAAATTCAAAAAGAGTAGATTAAATTTTGAACACCCTTTGTCAGTGGGCTATGCAAGGGTGTTCAAAGTCTATTTTTAATCAGTAACAAGTAATATTTTACTTTATACGTAGTATAATTTTTCGGCGAATTGTGGTCAGTGCACCACTTTAATTATATATCCCCGGCAAGATGTTGATGTGTAGGTTAAATTCTCAACTACTGAAAATAAATAAGCAAGTCAGGAATTTCAATTACTATGATTGGTGAAAAAAATCATGTATTGCCCAAACGCTTATTGTTTCAAAAGATAACTAAAATTGGTCGCCAACAAGTCAGAAGTCAGCACTGCAAACAACCTTAATGGCCATTTGATAGGTACCTAAAACATCCAGGTCAGTCTAATAACCTTTATAGATATACCACTTATTTTCTCAATTGGACTAATAAGTAATAACAATTTCATTACCATTAACTACAATTCTTCCTGTTCCATAATCTGCAGATCTAAACCTCCGTCAATGTATGAAGTCTCCCATGATGAGTTTAGATGTCGAGTTAGGAATTAGGCCGAAAAATACCCAGCTACAAGTCTACTAGTTGTGGATGAGCTCTATCACTTGGCTTGGCTTGTGAAAAATGGTCGTGTATAAGAGTGAGAACCAACAACAACGACCCAGTAAAATCTCACAAAGTGGGATCTGGAGAGGGTAGTGTGTACGCAGACCTTACCCCTACCCCGATGGGGCAGAAAGGTTGTTTCCGATAGGCCCTCGGCTCATGAAGACGGAAATAAAACAAGAGACAATTCATCAGTGTCGTCAACAGAAACCATAGAGATAGTAACAGCATCATAAAACATAAAATAGATGACATGCAATAACAATTACCAGTAATTAAGGCTCAGGGCTATGAAAAACAGAAAGGATAGTGTGGACTCAACATTAACCACAAGCCGTCTGAGATCAACCCTATCAAACCCGCCTCACCCCCGGTATGAAGTAGAAAAATCTCGACTACCCCCTAACCTACAACCCTAATGCTCGAGCACCATACCTTCCTATCAAGAGTGAGAACCAACACTAAAACTTCTTTATACAACAGCTGCAACTTGTTGATTATGTAATTGTTGCCTCGTTAAAATTTAGATCAACTGTCATTCCAGGGAAACTATAAACGTCCAAAAACCAACAGAAGAATACAAGCTACAACGATTATCACACATGGCCATTAGACACAGCTAACTAAAGCTTTTGATCGGGCTGCTAACTATTCAGAAACAAATTTAATCAAAGACGTAATTAAGGACTCATGCTTCAATAGTCATTTGGAAAGGCATTCATCAGGCCTTGCTCATACTCTATCACAGCATTATGGTGAATTCATACTCTATCACAGCATTCATCAGGCCTTGCTGATAATTCCATCTGCTATTTTGCAACATACTGCCAATAACTCAAAAAATCTGTAATGCGATATTGCTATGGAACCTACGTGGCTTTGGCCCTTTGCTAATAGGTTCCTCGAGGTACCCGTCCCTTCTGCCGAGGTTGTTCAGGTGACAAATCAATTGCATCCTTCAGCATAGAGGTATCCTAAAATAGAGGTTTCCCTCCTCCTCTTCTTCCTCTTATGGGATTTCAGATAGTTGCCATTGTAGCCCTTTTTTACAGGCTGCAGGTATATTAGACGTAAAGTGTTCAGTTGGTACTTCTCAATCCCAAATAAGCTAGAATCAGCTAGATGACTTCTGTATTATCATGTAAAAGTTAATCAAACCTACAAGTTGGAACACTCAGTATCTGCTCGACATACTTTTTACCATCTAGCCAGCACAAATTCCATTCACAATATATTTCAATCAATTATTCCTCCATCCCAAGTGGGTCGGACATATGACTCCTCAATATGCCTTTGAATGCAAATTAGGGGTTCAATAAGTAGGAACAAGTATGAACATTGGTTTCTGAAGTCCTAATGAAAAGAGACTTGTGCTATCCCAATCTGAGAGTCCATCATAACATGAAACGCTACACAATAAGATCATACACTACAGGTAAAATGGTGTACGAATGCAATACAAGAAGAGGGAAACATAGCTCAATTGAAATGGTAAGATCAAGAGATCCTCACACAAAGTTTCAGTTCAATTCTCACTGCCCCAATACTTAAAACCCCCAAAGTTTGGATTTCGATCATGACTCTAATAGAAGCAATAGAATCTTCTTTCTTACTCACGAAATGCCATGTCTAACCATTACTTGTACAAATAGCAATAGAGATATATTTACAAATGACAACAAAATTCTAGACGATCATCACATTGATTGAGAACAAGTTCTTACAGATACAGTGGGAACTAAAAGGAATTCATCTCCAGGATATAACTTCTACTCTTGAGCAACCTCTCCACGGCTTCTCCATACATTGCATCATCCCCAAATGCCCCTAAAGCCAATCCTACATCTCCATTTTGTTCCTCCACCTCACTCCTCTCACCATTACCCTGATTAATTGGCCGCACAACAACCAACGTTGCTCCTATCATTTTCGTGCCATCAGAGAGTTCCATTCTAGCTTCATGCCTCATCCTCATTCGTACAGCTGGCACTGTTGTGCGATTGCTCCGCCACCAAACACCAACACCATTCCCACTGGTAGCATTATTCACCTCCGCTTCCTCACCTTCGCCTTGGCTATCTCTACATTCTCTCAATCCTTTCTTATCCATCACTACTCTGCCTTCATCTTCTCTGTCTTTGATCACCAAATTCTCCAGCTCCTTGTGCTCGTTTACGACTTCCATCATCATGTAATGCCTTGCTGATGCTGCTATTAATGCGCTAATTGTCCAAACTACCCTCATTTTCAAACCTCCCCCAGCTCCTCCTCCCCCTCCTCCTAACTCTGCCTCTCCTCCGCCACCTTCCCCACCGCGAAACCCTAAAATCACGCAGCTCTTTAGGGTTTTCCCAAACTCTGCCTTCCACTTAATCGTCGTGCCTTTCTCTAATCGAAGATCGCCGGACGGCAGCTCGATTTGGAGATTCCGGATCTTCTCAAACTCGCGTAGAATCTGGGCGGGTGAGTTTTGTGATCGGGTCGGGTTTGGGAGAGGCTTGCTTGGGGAAACGAGATGGTGAAGGGATTTGATGATGGATCTGAGGAAAGCAATAAAGAAGGAATCATCGTCGTCGTCGGAATCGGTGGCGGAGATAACCCGGTCGACCCGGAGGAGGAGCGAATCGGCTTGAGGAACCAAAGAGTTGAACCGTTTGGAAACGGAGCGACATCGGATTAGGGTTTTGATGTCAGAGATTTGGTTGAAGATGAGGTTGATAAGCGGGTCAGGTATCCGATCGAACCCGTCAGAGTGATCCAATTCGAACTCCATAGCCGGCGTAAAATTATTTTTTTCTGAATTGTTTTTTAAGAAATTAAGAGAAAGAGGAGTGGTTGGGTGTGTGGATATGAACGGGAAAGACAGAGAATTGGGTATTGGGCTCTGAAAATCGAGCTTTTTGAGGGGAGCGTAGATTTTGACCGTTGACCTGAAGTTAGCAGTGGGGCCCTAATGGGATTTTTCTTTCTTTTTAGCCTAATTGCCGGCTTTCGTCAGAAATTTAATAAAGGGCGCCGTGGTTTGTTTTTCGTGCTACCGGAACACGCTTAGCAAACCCCGTCACATTTTCCATTGAACTTTGAAAAGGCAAAAACGAAAAAGAGGAAAATAAAGGTAAATTTGTCTTTGAATCATTGGCACCATGTAATCATCATAAAATAATATCTGTCCATGCGTATCAAACCACATTAATTTGTTACTCTGAAATGATAAATTGATAGATATACATATTAATTAAATATAATTAAACATATATTGTGCATTTATTGGATTGTAATAACAGGTCATGCTTCAAATTATAGTCTTTTAGGCTAACACAATTGTGTAATAGTTGTATTTATTGGATCTTTTGTTCACAGTTTCATGGTTTAGATGGTCACTCAACTTTGAATAATTTGTCATCAAAGTCAAATAACTTTTTTTGTCTTTCAAAAATCAATTAACTTTAGGTAATTGACCATCAAAGTCATATAACTTTCTTTCGCCTTTCAAAAATCACTCAACTTTACCTAGTTCACTTAAATGGTCTTTCTTTCTAGATTTTGTACTTCGCAGTTATATTTAGTGGCATGAAAAAAATTAATTTTAAGAAAAAATTATTAAAATACTAATTTAAAACCTAAACCATTTTAAAATCAAACCCAATCGGTTACTCAATACATGACTCCTCTCACATATATCAGTCGACTTTAACAGCTTCTCTGCTCCATATGCAATTATAGTTAATTTGAAAGTTTTGTACTTTTGTACAATGATTTATATAATTGAATTATCCCATCTCAAATATATGTGATATTAAATTTAAAAGTTAAAATGAACTACTTATGAAAAAAATTGAGCACAGCTAACGGAAGAGCAAGAGTGCAAGACAAACTTCTGAAAGTTAAGTAGTTAACATTCAATAGATGATTATGAAGAAACATGAAAATTTTCAAATCAATCTAACCATTCTATTATAACTGAGGTTATGCTTTCAATAAACTTTGCATAACCCGACATTCAATAGTGCAAGGGACTGTGAAAGCACCCGGATCTTCCAATTTCGGAGTCATTGAGTGTACAATAGCACTCACTTAATGTGTGATCTTGATAGTTTCACAATTCATCGACCTCTTCTTGGTGACCAAGTCCTTCATGAACTTTGCATAACCCGACATTTGTTCCAATGCCTCAACCAATGGGACATTGATAGACAAACTCTTCATCATGTCAATAAACTTTTTGAATTGGTTCTCACTATTTTGCTTTGCAAGCCTTTGAGGGTATGGAGGAGGAGGCCTTGGCATTGGTGCCTTAGCCTTTGGCACTACCGGTTCCGGTATATCAATCACGTGCTCCCTAGACGGGTTCACCTCTTCTTACTTCTCCTCCACATTTTCATCAATATCAATTCTCACTTCGTCATTAGCTTGAACCACATTGCTTTGAATTTCATCTTTCTGAATCACAACATCATCATCCACAATTCTACTTTGATTTGAGGTGGTTGCATATCCATCTTTCCCACTTCTCGTAGTCATGGCCATAGCATGTCCCGTATTATTCTCACCATTTGGGTTCACCACTGTATCACTTGGTAGTTCCCCCTTAGGACGAGTGTTCAATGCTTGTGAGATTTGGCTAAGTTGAACCTCCAAATTGCGGATTAAAGTGTTGTGGGAGGCTAATTAAGCATCGGAGTCTGCATTTTTCTCCATCATTTGCTTGAACATATTTTCAATCCGTCTCATCTCATTGTTAGAAGAGCTCGGGCCTTGAGAAGGATAGGGAGGTGGATTGCTCGGTTGTTGGAACATCAGGGCCCTTTGAAAACCCGACCCCCGATTGTTATTGTTGTTCCACCCTCCTTGATTACCTCCCCAATTACTTTGATTGTTGTCACCCCAATTTTCTTGGTTTCCTTGATTATTCCAATTGTCTTGATTATTATTATTTCCCCAATTGCCTTGATTATTGTTGCCACCACTCCAATTGCCTTGGTGGCCTTGGTTGTTCCAATTTCCTTGATTTTCTTGTGATCTCCATTGTTGTTGATTTTGAGCATTGTTTCTTTGACCTTGATAATTGTTGACGTATTTCACTTCTTCTTCCTGCTCATTATACGAATCACCTTGGTTATATCCACTATCATCTTGCATGAATTGTTCCAAATGGCTTTGCCCTTTTTGACCTTTTGCCGTCTCTTATTCATCATCATATTTACGCCTTTCATCGCATTCACTTGTTTTGGCCCTTGAACTTGTTGCAGCTAAGCTTTTGCCAATTGGTTCGTTGNGCCAATTGGTTCATTGTGGTTGTTAACTCTGCGATAGCTTGCCCATGATCATGTAGTTCCTTGTGTAGGTGAATGACATTGGAGTCACCTTGCGGAACATTGGCCCTACTTTGCTATGCCGATGAGGTATCCGCCATCTCATCCAAAATTTCACAAGCTTCGGCATAAGGTATGTTCATGAAGTTCCCGCCGGCGAGTTAATTTACCACACATTAATTTGTTGTGTTGATCCCCCTGTAGAAGGTTTGTTGGATCATGGCCTCGGTCATATCATTATTCGTGCACTTTTTAACCATGGTACGATATCTTTCCCAAATCTCGTGCAATAGCTCATTGGGCTCTTGCTTGAACACTAGAATTTCATCCCATAGTGTAGCCATGTGCCCCGGAGAGAAACATTTAGCAATGAATTTTTCGGCCAACTCATCCCACGTATGGATGGAATGATTGGGCAATCTCTCTATCTAGTCCAATGCTTTTCCCCGTAAAGAAAAGGGAAATAGCCCCAACCTTAGCGCGTCCTCAGAAACATTGGTTTGTTTGCTCCCCCAATAAGTATCGACGAACCCCTTGAGATGCTTGTAAGCATTTTGATTTGGAGCCCCAGTGAAGAATCCTCATTGCTCGAGTAGTGTAAGCATCACGTTGGTGATTTGGAAGTTGCCCGTCATAATACGGGACAGGACTATAGCACTTGCATAACCTTCGTTCGGCAACACCCGGTGCGCTGCCGCTCTAGGTGGAGCTGGTATAAGGACGGGAACATTATCATGAGGCAGTCGGCCTCGCCTATTTGCTTGAGGTTCGGGAAGAACCTCATCTCCTTGATCATCGTCCACTTCCTCCCCCAATGGCAAATTACCAATGGGCTCGTTGTTGAGAGCCATTCTCGTACCTATAAGCAATTCAAAAACAAAATTAGTGACTTAGAAGGAAAAGAAAACAAATCACACAAAAACTTAGATATATAGCTAAATTCATTTAACTCCCCGGCAACAGCACCAAAAATTGATGTCGCCCAAACTCACACCACAAATATAGGTAGTGAGGCAGTCGAAGCAATAATAAAACCCAACACAAATCTGGGTCGAATCCTCAGGGAGTTAGAATTAGGATTAGGTATATATTTAGTGTAATTGTACAATATGCCTTAGATTACACTTCCACATTCTTGTTTGTTATTTCTACTTCTACTTTAAACTTTTGATTGCAATTATAAGACTAGAAGATAATATTTTTAGTTTTAGTTGTTTTCCGAATGATAAAAGATCTAGGGCCGTGAGTTCCACCTAGGTGGTTACCTAATGGGTTGTAAACTCTAGGGCAAGTTTGATTGGTCGGGATTGTAATATAGCAATCACACGCAATTACATACTCTATACCTCTCGGTAGTTTGAGTGATTTTGCCCAATTTGGCTTTCTCAAATCCAAATGGGTATTGCACAAAATACGTGATAAATCTCAAGTCGGGTCTTACTATCTCTAGACTCAACCTCTTTAATTGGGGCTATCAATTTCTTGAGTTCACCTCAATTTCTTGTTAGCCAAGTTTTCCTAGACTTAGTCTCTCTTTCTCAAGTAGATACTAAGTTAATTAAGCATGAATCAATATTTGCAATCATTAATTCTTGAATTCAAGCAAGAACTACGCTAAATATCACTAACTCAATCACAAACAAGTTCTAAATCAAATACCCATTAAGTACCCACACTAGGGTTGGGCCACAACCCTAGCTAAAAATTTAGCTACTCATGAAAAATAAAGAAATACAAGAAGAAATTAAGATAGAATGCATAATAATTGATTAGGGAAAGAAAATCTAATGTTTAGAAGCTAATCTAGTACAATATTACTCAAAATAATAAAGAAAAACGGCTCAGGTGCTCTCCCAAAACAAAACTTACCCTAAAAATGACAAAAGGTTCTATTTATACTAAGCTAAAAATATCTGACAAAAATGCCCCTGAGGAGGTTGTGCGGCCGCACAATTCTGTGTGCGGACCGCACTCTGAGCTTAACTGGTCAACTGGGCCTTCTACGGTCGCATAAAAATGGGATGCGACCGCACTTCATTTGATTATGCGGACCGCACAATTCTGAGTGTGGTCGCACACTTGAACTTGGACAGGAACATAGTTCTCTGATTCTTCTCTTCTGCGGACCGCACAATTGTAAGTGCGGCCGTACTTGTCATCTTGCGGCCGCACAATTATGGTGCAGTCCGCATATCTTCAGCCTGCCCAAAAACTAACTCTCTGAATCTCCTCTTCTGTGGCCGCACAATAATTGTGCGGTTCGCATACTCTGAAGGACATCTGACAGTGATGTTTCATTGTTCTGCGGCCGCACACAGTATTGTGCGGTCCGCACTGTGGGCCTTTTTGCCTTGTTTTGGTCCTTGTCCATTTTTGACTCCTTTATGAGTTTATTTTGACTTCTTTGGCTCGTCTCCCAATATTCCTGCACGAAAGAACTAATTCACATTTTATTAGTTCCCGGGAATACCTTTAAGCATTTTTGAGCTAAAACGCAAGTAAAAGAGAGCAAATAAGCGGTCAAAATCTCTACTTATCATATTGCAACTGCAAAACCTAAACTAGATGCCACCAAAACTAGCCCGAGTTTTAAAGAAAAATTAATAGCGGGTGAACATGGTGCATTAATTAATGTACTCACTAATTCAAGTGAGCATTACACATTTCATCTGCAAAAC